CCTCTCCCACGATCGCACCCCACCAGAGAGGGCCGTGGTTCGCGCTGGTGGACCCGCCCTGACACGTCATCACCTGCAGTCCAGAGTTTACAACAGGGTCGCTCAGGCGTTTCTGGGTTTAGGCGAATGTAGAGTAACGTGTGTCCATCATCGTGGTGTCACCCTGAGAGTTTCGCTGCCCTGAAAACCCTCTCTGCTCCCCTGTTCATCCGCCGCCCCCATCCCGGCAAGCACTGATCTCTCCTGTCTCCATCATTTTGCCAGAAGCTCATGGAGTCGGAATCCTGCCATGTGGCCTTTGCAGGCTGGCTTCTTTCACTGAGTAACATGCATTTATGGTTCCTCCATGTCTCTTCATGGCTTGAAAGCTCATTTCTTTTCAGCGTTGAATAATATTCTGCCGTCTGGAGGGACCACAGTTTGTCTCTCCACCACCTGAAGGGCATCTTGGTTGCCTCCCAGTTTGGGGGACGTAGACAGAGCCCCACACTGCTTGCCCTGCGACCTTGAACCCTCCACCTCTGAGTTTTCTTACTTTCTGAATGTGATTTGGACTCTGGTTTTTTCTTTCCAGTCTATATGATTATCCTTTTTTTTTTGGAAAAAGTTTCCCTGAATCTGAGTTACTGAAAACAGGAAGGCTGAGAGCAGGTACTGAGCGGCCCGCTGGGCAGCATCACTGCGCTCACCTGCAGCCCACCCGCATCCGGCTTCCTGAGACCAGCCTCACCGCCCCGGGCTGAGAGCTTCTGGCTTGTCAGGGATGGACGTGCTCGGTAGCCTCCCAGCCCTCGTAGCGGGAGAGAAAGTCACACGGATGAGAAGCGTGAGGCTCGCGCTCCGGGGCAGCGCAGCCGGACACGCCTCCTGCCTCGGTTTTGTGGCGGTTTCACGGGGCTTAGTTCCAGATCCCCTCCCACTGATGAACCGTTTGTCGTTGGCAGTTGACTCTGACAAGCGGCACCCCAGCGACTTTGCCCTGTGGAAGGCAGCGAAGCCCCAGGAGCCAGCTTGGGCTTCTCCCTGGGGAAGCGGCAGGCCCGGCTGGCACATCGAGTGTTCTACCATCTGCAGGTGAGGGTCCCCGTTCCTCCGTGTGGTGCTGAGCGCTCGGCAGTGCCCGGCCTGGGCAGCAGAGGGCGCAGCGCTGGCCAAGCGGGCTTGGGAAAGGAGTGCAGTGCGGGTGGGAGGCAAACCATGAGACGTTTATCTTTCCAACAGCAGCGCTTGTTCCTTTAGGAGAAAAGCCTGCTCTGTGGTCCAGGTCTTAATTTCCTGGCACACACAGGCCAGCTCTGGGCACCTCCATCTCCCCTGCGGTGGGTGCAGGAAGGCGGCCGGGGGGCCTGGGTGAGGGGGCTGGACCACTGCCCTGGCCCCTAGAGCATCACCCTCAGTTCCTGCTTCCACCTGCCCTGTCTCCCAGCTCTTTATCTCGGCCACACCACGCCCGGGACGTCTCTGTCTTGGGAATCCCATAGACCTGGTGCTCCTCTGGTCCTGATGCCCCTCCAGGGCCCCCCTTCTGTGTCTCTCCTCTCACCGTACACGCGTCTCTGCTGTTGTCTGCCGGGCGTCCCCACTGACTGGCTCTGCGGTCAGCCCAGACCTGCCCATCAGCCCGGTCAGTGACGTTCCCTGGCTTCTGCAGCACAACGGTTTTCTGATTTCAGCGTCTCTGCTGGGGCCTCGCCACCTTGTTTCTGTAGATCTTCCCTGTGGGCTGTCCGTCCCGGGTCTGCAGTGCCGAGGCTCTGCCCGCGGCCAGGTGGGGAGGAGGGTACGGAAGGCAGCGTCCCGCCCGTGCCCTCCTGTGCCCTCTCCTCCCTCCGCAGCCTGTCCCGGGGTCCCCTTCCCGGGTCTCTCGGCTCCGCGGTGCTGGGCCCTGGGCTGCAGCAGCGTCCGTTTAGCCAGTGCCGGGCCCATGAACATTTAGTTTCTAATATTCTGCTCTTACACTTGCCTACAGTACACAACCTTGTGTACGTCTTTCCCGTTTGTGGAGGTGAGGGGTCTCTTAGTATCATTAACTCGTGGATTTGGATACATTCGACGTTTTCAGTTCATTGCAGATATTTATTAAAATAAGCAGTTTTAAAATTAGAAACGGAGGAGGGTAGAGCTCAGTGGTAGAGTGCATACTTAGAATGCATGAGGTCTTGGATTCAATCCCTCTGTTAAAATAAATGAGGCATTAATTAATTATGGAATATCTATATAATGGAATACTACATCACAATTCTAGATGTAACTATTTAATAAACTTAAAAAAATTAGAAACAGTTAAGTGTGATTGAGGCGAACATTTCAAGCTACTGGCTACACCCTAGGGTTTAAGAGCAGCAAAGCCGGTCGCCCTCGAGTTGGCCGTTGCACGTGGGGCAGCTCTCTGGCCGGACAGCAACGTGGGCGTCAGGAGGGCTGCAGCCAAGAGCAGGCGGCCCCATGTGCTGACGCCACGCTGCCTCCTTTGCGGTGTTGGCTCACCCCCCTACCGGGTCCTCCTGGAACTGCCTGTCCCAGCGTGTTCACCTGAGTGCAGACCCAGAAGGGAGTCTGCCTTTTGCACTAGCCCCCCGCTGCCCTCGCCTGTGGTGGACGTCTGTAGACTCACCTGGAAACACATCCAGGAGTTCCTGAGATGTCTAACTGTCTTGTTAGTCTGAAGCTGGGTAAATTTTTCAAAGGCAGAAAACATTTATTCAATTTCAAATGTAACGTTACCATTAACTATTTTGTTTTTGTCCAAATTTAAATTACAAAAATAGACTTCTGTTCCTTTTCAACTTTCGTTTTAAAATAGGTCTGACTTTCAGACAAGAATAGAGACTAATACAACGAACATCATGGACCCACAGTTTGGCTGTTAAATCTTAGCGTTGTTGTATGTGCTCAGATCTTTGTGGAAGTAGACCACTCGTTTCAAATACAAGCGAGTCCCCTTGAACTCTTCTCACCAGTGCTGGTCCCTCCCGTCACCTGCTCTCCTTGGTAGCGTTTGAATTTCAAGGACTCAGATTCTGTAGAACCCACTGCCAAGGACATACAGCCCCAGATGACCCGCTTGGCCACTTGGCTCAGGCGTGACCGGTGCATACGTGGCTTTTCCAGGAGGAGAGTCAGCTTTCGGCAGGAAGGGACCTCAGTGAGGCTGTGGCACCTTTGAAAGCATCTATCTGTAGCCATTTTAAGAAAACTGCCTGGTGTCTACATCCCAGCCTCACTGTGCTGTCAGCGGGACCGGTGGCCTCAGACCTCCACGGACGCCCGCCTCTCCCCAGTCTCTCATTTCCACTGTGCGGGTTTTTGCATTTTAATTGATCTTTGCACTTTTCATGCCCTCCAGAGCAGCCGCTAGTCAGCCTGGGCCATTTGTTCTGCAGGCACTCAGGGGACAGAGCCGCACAGGCTGGTGTCGCCTCAGCCCTGACAGCTGCAGTGTGTGGTTCTGTGGGACACGAGGTTTTTCGGGAGCGGGTCGCGTAGCAGGGGAGCAGAAATGCCGCCGGCCGAGATGCGTCACTTTGGATTCTGTCACCTTGTTATTAATGTATGGCTCCCAGAGAGTTACATTTCCAAAAGCCAAATTAGAATCTCGATTTTATAGTTCTGTCTCTTCTGTTAAAGTCAAAAAGCCACTAAGCTCTACGTATGGAAAATAAGAAAAAGGGATTTAGACGCTTTTGAAAACCATGCATTGCATCCAGGGCCAAGAAAATGATGTCCCTTCACCAGGAGGAATAGCTATGAATTGGGGGTTTTATGAGGTAAAAGCAGAACTCATTTTCCACTGCATCAGTTAAAGTACGCATACGGACTTCAAATCGCGCTCTTCCGTTGTGCACGTTGCATGAGGCTGGACGAAGTAAATACAGGGTGTGGTTTGGGGGGTGTGTTGTTGGACTGGATTAACTCGCGGCTCCGCACTGTGTCTCGCAGCCTGGTGTTTGGAAGCCGCCTGGACATCCACTCGGGTGGGATCGACTTGGCTTTCCCGCACCACGAGAATGAAATCGCTCAGTGCGAGGCCTTCCATCAGTGCCAGCAGTGGGGCAATTACTTCCTGCATGCTGGTGAGTAAAGCCTTCAGATTAACTTGTTCCCTTTCAGCTCTCTTTATCAGTGAAACAGCTACATTTGGAAATACCTGGATCAGATAATAGGTCAAGAAACAGAGTTGTCCCTTAAACTGTCTTTTTTAGTCTTTTTTTTTTTAATGGAGGTACTGGGGATTGAACCTGAGACTTCATGCATGCTGAGCATGCGTTTTACCACTGAGCTATACCCTCCCCCCAAATCGTTTGTGACCTTGAGTCAATGGGACCTGACCTTCCTTGGACTGGAATACTGAGGATGCCTTTTGGAACTGAAATACGAGCTAATGGAAAATGTTATGCAGCGCTGTTCTCTGTAAGTTTCTTTCAAATGAAACTATTAAGATACTATTCAAATAGTATGATGTAATAATCATGAACATGCCATTCATGAGCTGCAATATCATCACCAGAAGTATGTGTCATCCTCTAAAAGCCCCGCCTTCCATTTCACTGATCAAAAGCCTCATTGATTAACTCCCACCATCGGTTCTCAGAAGGAGATACGACGTTGTGAAACCTGCAGCGTCTTGAGCAAAGCAATTTTGGAATTTCCTGTGACACATGGGAAGAGTCACGTGTCCAGATTTTGGCAAAGGTCGTGAGGCCGCAGTGAACTGATTTTACTACGGTTTTGGAATGGGCAGTTAAGGGCTTGAGGGGCTTTGGCAGTGACAGGGCGCGGAGGCGCAGATAACCAACATCTAAAACACGGGACATGGACAAGTGCCATTTCTTTAAGTCCCTAAACCAAGGAGATGGGGTTTTCCCCGCGAGGTGGTGTTGAGTGCAGACAAGCTCCAGTTTTCTCATGTGCAGCAGCTGCGTAACGTCTATGGTGAGGGTTCCTGTGGGTGACAGTCACCGGGGGGCTGCCTGCCCCAAAGGGCACTCACTTCAGCATCTCGCTGCACCCACACCCCGGGAGTCACCCCGACCTTGCCGAGTTTGCCCCTCATAGAGCCCCGGGATGAAGCATCAGGGATCCTCGAGTGACCCCTCGTCTTGGGGCTGCCTTGAGGTCGTCAGAAAGGGACGAGCTGAGCTGCCATTTCCTGCATGGGAGCTGCCATCTGGTGTCCACTTCGTCTCCTGCGGGGAGCTCGACTGTAGCCAGAATCTGCCGTGATTCTGCCAGTGACGTCACCTGCTGGGTGCGTTCCCGAAACAGAGGGATGAGAGCCTGGTGACCCTGGCTCCATTTCCGCCGGTGCTCACTGGCAGGGAGGTGGGCACCAGGGTGGGGGGCTTCAGCAGTGATCCCAGGTCTCAGCGTGTTCCCATCAGGGCCCACACCTGCCTTCAGAAACCACATGCGATTGTCTCCCCGCTTTGGGAGCCTGCGTGGGGGGAGTCGCAGGTCTGAAGAGCTGGGTCTCAGTGTTGGAGGATTCCCATCCCTGCTCCCAGGTTCCAGGACAGGTGATCCTGTGTAAACTGTCAGGACGTGAGCGCTGGGCTCCCCAGACCCTTCACTGGTGGCTCCTGGGGAGTTAGGGTTTGCTGTCCACACTGGTGCCCCTCAGCGGCTGTGGGTCTGGGGTCTGACGGGCCCTCCGCAGCGCCAGCGCTCAGTCGGGCGTCCGTGTGCACGCATGGCCGGTCTCGTGCTTAAATGCAGGCACGGGGAAGGGTTTTGCCGCTGGGCTTCGTTTCAACGTTCGCAGTCCACGAGGACATCGGAACCTTCCTGGTTCTGCCCTCACCCTGTCCTGGAAAAACAGCCGCGTCTCCTGACCCTGGAGAACTGACGCTTTTTTCCCGAAGTAAATGGTTGGAAGGTTACGTAGTCGGACGTGTGTCACTTTCCAGGTGCTGCTGGTTTAAAACCCTTCATTGTACTTGGTGTCTGTGGCGTGCTATAGCAATTTACCTATTCAAGGTTATATATTTTTGGAAGCCACATTTTAACCAGTTCTCAGGAAAAATGGCCTTGGGACACCCTGTCCTTGAAGACAGGTCAGGAGAAGGGGAAGAACCTCCTGTTAGGAAGAAAAGGCCGTGCCCTGGACGTGCACCTCGTACAGAGGCAGTCCGGGAGGAGCTCCGGCTTCCCTGTCCGCTCACACACACGGGGATGAAGCAACGCCAGGGTCGGGGCACGTCTGTGAAACCAGCCGCAGCGGAAGCCCCGTCAGCCCTTCCCAGAGACCTGCGCTCTGTGTCGAACCAGAGATGCGCCTTTTCTTCCGGGGCTGGGCCTGCTCCCCAGTGTTTGAGTCACAGGACAGGGAAGGGCCGGAGCTGGTGGTGCCCGGGCCATCGCCCCCCGTGGACCAGGGTCCCTGACGGTCTGGAACAGCGCAGCTGTGGGCCCACCTCCTGGGGGGCCGAGCACGGGGTAGATTTGGGGGATCTGCGTGTCAGAGGGGCAGCGGGTCAGAGGTCCCGTGGCCCCAGCCCCGTGGCCCAGGCGCCTTTAGAGAAGCCCCCACGTCTCCTTCCCTCTGCGGGTGGAAGCACCTTCCTCCCCTCACCCGGCGCAGAGTGAGTGACTGTATTTCTGTTGCAGGACATTTGCATGTGAAAGGCAAAGAAAAAATGTCCAAATCCCTGAAGAACTACATCACCATTAAGGTAACGCACTTTGGGGGCTGCAGTCTGCGGATGTGTCGTAGAGGCTGACATGGGGGGGCTCCTGCTTCCAGGCTTAAATGGCTCTTTCCTGTCCCAAAAGCCCAGCAATGTCCCGTCCCCGGCTTCCCCCCCGGGTGCCTGCGGCTCTGCTCTCTGCCGCCGCTGCCCACGTCCTCCCTGCCCCCCTGGGTTCCAGGATCCACACCCTCTTCCTCCTCCAACCATCTTCTCTCCCGAGTCTAGACTGCTGCCCTCTTCTCCCCGTCCTGCCACCAGCCTCCTCTGGTGCCGGTGGCTTCAGGGTTGCAGCTGGCCTCTCGCCCTGCTGGACAGTCCCCCGTGCTATGGAGGCGGGCGGCGTGTGTGCATCCGGACGAGTTGGGGCGGGTGCACCGAGAAGAGAGCACTTCTGGGACGCTGGGCCCTCCTCTGGGCCTGCGAAGCCAAATTTAACTTCAGTGGCAAATCAAATTGACAGGGGTTGCAATCAGGCCCTGTGACCTAAATACCTGGCCACAGAGAACTGCTCCCACCAGACTTAGAGCAAAGCAAAAGGGGATGCGCCTCACAAAAATAATCCTTATGCACGTAATAGAAGGTTCAGTGTCACCACACCTACAGAGACGCGAAAAGCAGCATGGACTCACTATGCAGATTCGAAAGAGCCATTATTTTGCTGCGCTTGCTGCTCTGTGTGGGTGGGGCGGTGAGTGAGTGTGCATGGGTGCAGTGTGTGCGTGCACACATTTCACTGTTGTTGAACCACCAGGAAGTGCACTGCAGACACCACGTGCCGCTCTGCAGGCGACTCATGAAAATCAGGATGTTCCCCTGCGTACCCGGAACACCGGAGACGCTGGCAGTGCTTTCTTAACACCAGCAGTTTTCTAGTCCTTGCTCCAGTTTACAGCCTTGGGTTTCACCAGGGACCCATCGGGGTTCAGGCTCCTTAGGCTTCTGTTTGTTTTTTGAATAGCGGTGAAAAGTACACGACACAACACCCGCCACACTCAGGTCGGCTCCGGTTTCAGTTCCGAAAGGCACACTCAGCCTTCCAACCGAGGAGGTGCCCACCTCCCTGCCTGTGCGTGCCTCGCCCCCGAAGGCCTGGAGAGCCTTCCTCCAGCCGACCAGACAGGCTTCACTGAACACTTCCTGCTAGGGTTCCCGTGTTATCCGTCCTGACGTCAAAAATTCTCACTTCTTCACGCAGACAGCATGGAAATCAGTTACAGGACGACACTGGTTGGGTTTTATGTTCAGTCGGGGAGTTTTGTTCCTTGAGAACCGTGACCTTGGGGCCCGTGTCCACCTGAAGGCCTCGGAGGACCGTGTTGACGGGGAGGACTGGGCCCTGGGCCCCCGGCCGCCCTCAGCTGACTCCACCACAGCCGGCTCCTCGTCCCCGACAGTCCCGTCCTCTCCCCGGGAGCTGCGTGTCCTCTGCAGCCACCCTCCTGCCCGACAGCGTCCTGTCCTTTCGTGACGAGGGTCCCCGCCAACCACAGAGCAGACGCCCCTGGTCCAGGGCGGGGCTGGCCTTTCCGGCCAGGCCGGGTTGGAACATGGGCGCTCCGGCAGGGAAGCCGCAGGGAGAAGTGCTGACAGGGAGTCTGGACACGAGGGGAAGAGCTCCGAGGGTCCCTGGGTTCTGGGTGTGATCTCAAGCCCTGTGACGAGCGATAGACCCCGAGGGCGCCAACCCTCCCCCACCCCGTCCCCCCCGCAGGACTTCCTCCGGGCCGCCTCCCCTGACGTCTTCCGGCTCTTCTGCCTGCGGAGCAGCTACA